GCTATTATGTGCAACAGATGGCACTGTTTTTCAAAAACGCGTGTTTTACCTGTCATAGGGAGTGGCATCTATATAATAGTATTCTATATAATAGTATAATAGACGCGCCTATTCGAATGCAACGTTGTGTCAAATTTTCAAAGCAATCGGTGAAGAACTTTCGGAGATTAGCGATTATTAACAAACGAACTTTTCCATTTTTATTTATATAGATAGATAGATGAACGGTATGGTAAACAACACATCTCAGTTCCAACACAATGTCACACAAAAAATTTCAATAAAAAATAAAATAAATCGAAATCTATGAAAATAAAATTTATCAATGCAATCGGTAACGTTGAAATGGAATTCATGACATATATAGTATAGCTTGAATATTGCTATTATGTGTAACAGATGACGCTGTTTTTCAAAAACGTATGTTTTTACCTGTCACAGGGGGGTTTCATCTATATAGTAGGTATATAAAAAGTAGCGCCTATTCGAATGCAACGTTGTTAAAATTTCAAAGCAATCGGAGAAGAACTTTCGGAGAGTACAGCGTGTGTTGCTCTTACGTTCAACAGATGGTGCTGTTTTTTTAAAAAAAGTATGTTTTTTCTTGTCACAGATGAGTCATGTATATAGTAGATATATAAAAAGACGCGCCTATTCGAATGTAACGTTGTGTCAAAATTTCAAAGCAATCGGTAAAGAGGCTTCGAAGATTTCCCTCACTTGAAAAATAAAGTTTTTTAAGAAAACGCATGTTTTTTTTCCGTCCCAGACGTCATATCTATATAGTATGCATATAAAAACCTGGCCGGATGCGAATGGAACATTGTGTGAAAATTTCAAAGCAATCGGTAAAGAACTTTCGGAGATTAGTGATTTTGAACAAGTGAACATTTCCATTTTTATTTATATAGACTAGCTGCACCCGGCCACGCATTGCTGTGGCTCAGCAATGCATGTGCGTTGCTGAGCCACAGCAACCTTCCCCTGTCTCCCAGTCCTCCCCACCATTCCCTCTCCCCCGCCCCCTCGTCCTCCCAACCATTCCTCACTCTCATGTCCCTTCGCCCTCCCAACCATTCCCTATTCCCTCATCCCTTTCGTCCACCCCACCATTTCCTCCCTTCCCCATCCCTGTGTCCTCCCCACCATCCCCCACTCCACCGTCCCCTCGTTCTTCTAACCATTCCCCACTCCACGGTCCCTCTCATACTCACCTCCATCTCCCACTCCCTCATCCCCCTGGCCTCCCTGTCATTCCCCTCTCCCGTGTTCCCTCGTCCTCTGCACCATTCCCCCACTCTCCTTGTTTTCTTGTCCTTCCTATCATTCTCCATTCCCCTGTCCCCTCGTCCCCACCATCCCTAACCCCTCATCTCCTCGTCCTCCCCACCATTACCCCCTCCCTTGTCCCGTCATCCTCAGTACCATCCCCCACTCCCATCCCCTCGTCCTTCCCACTATTCCCCACTCCCATCCCCTCGTCCTTCCCACCATTCCCCACTCCCTCATCCAATGCATTCACAAATTATCTGATGTTCCCATCAGAAAGTAGGGAACATCAAATGATCTGATGTTCCCATCAGAAAGTAGGGAACATCAAATGATCTGATGTTCCCATCACTAAAATGTATGAAAAGCAATTAAAACGAAATGAAAAACAATGCAGAAATACAAAAAAACTATTCTCTTGAAATGAACAGTATGGTAAACAACAAAGCTCAATTCCAAAGGCAGTGTCACAAAATAATTAAATCAAAATGAAAATAATTCGAAATCTATGAAAATTCAATTTATCAATGAAATTGGAAACATTGAAACGGAATCGTAACATATTTATTATAGCGTTTATGGCTCTTACGTACAACAGATGGTGCTGTTTCTTAAAAAAATAGAATGTTTTACCTTTTACAAGTGTGGCATCTATACTTGTATATATGAAATGAACGGTGTGGTAAACAACACAGCTCAATTCCAATACAATGTCACACAAAATAATTAAATCAAACATAAAATAAATCGAAATCTATGAAAATTCAATTTATTGATGCAATGGGAAACATTGAAGTAGAAATCATAACATATTTAGTATAGCGTGTGTGTTGCTATTATGTTCAACAGATGGCACTGTTATTTCTTTAAATTGTGTTTTGCCTGTCACAGGTGTGGCATCTATACAGTAGGCATATAAAAACATGCGCATATTCGAATGCAATGTTGTATCAGAATTTCGACGCAATCAGTGAAGAACTTTGGGAGATAACAGGGTGTGTTGCTCTTACGTCCAACAGATGGTGGTGTTTATCAAAAAAGCATGTTTTTTCCCATCACAGGTCAGGCATGTATATAGTAAGAATATAAAAACAAACGCCTATTCAAATGCAAAGTTGTGTCAAAATTTCAAATCAATTGGTAAAGATGTTTCGAAGATTTCTTTCACCTGAAAAACACATGAAAAACACAGTTTTTTTAAAGCATGTTTTTTTCTGTCACAGACGTGACATCAATATAATATGTATATAAAAACCCGCTCTGATGCGAATGGAACATTATGTGGAAATTTCAAAGCAATCGGTGAAGAACTTTCTGAGATTAGCGATTTTGAACAAACGAACATTTCCATTTTTATTTATATAGATGGTAAGTGTCATATAGATGGAGGTCCGAGTGTTGCTGGAGTCGCCCTCAGTACCGTTCACGTGGTGCCCCCGGGAACATGTCACCTGCACCATGCGCCCTTGCACCTTGCCACCCTGGACCATGCCCCCCAGGACCATGCCCGTTTGGACCCCCGTCTCTTATAGTCGCCTACCTCGCCTCCTGACCAGAAATGGGCTATCGTTTTACTTACTTCAATTTTACTGTCGGAATCCTAATCCATTTGGACGGGATCTCAGTATACTGAAATCTGTCTCCATCACGAGAATGAGACCTAAATGATTCAATCTAAAAATCAACTGTTCATCCAGTTATTTCTAGCGTACTTATTTTTTTTTTTTTTTTGCTCTTTTTAATAGACACTGATATACTTAAGCTTTGAACTGTTTATTGATAATTTAAACTTAGAATCCTTATCATGACTCCAACAGATTTTCTCATTAATACATCAGTTTAATGTTAATTTTTGTGCATTTGAAATGAGAGCTGAGGAATGGAACTCCAATACCATACCAGTGAATGCGGGTCATGTGTCAAATTTTGATTTTGGTACCAGGTCGAGGCCTCGGAATCCATAGAGGTTTCAGTTGAATCCCAGATATATTACTTATAGTGCATGGTGGTCCAGTGGTTTAAGACGTGTGCTTAAGAGACCCCAAGGTACACGTTCAAATCTTCTTCATGGCTCAAACTGATTTTCTCATGCTCATACCAGAGTTGACCGAAAGGTCAGAAATGTTTATTATGTATGGTTTGATTGCTGGTATATTAGGAGTTGAAAGAGGTCATTTATATAATACTTGTTTATGTCAGATGCTCTGAAGATTGGCCTACGACATTTATAACATTTAACTCATAGTAAATTACAAAGTTATATATCGGTTCAAAGTTGTATGTAGTTTCTTGAATTGGGAACTAACCTTGGAAGAGGTCGTCCCGGGGAAGGTCGGGTGAGTTGATGTTCATGTTGTGGACGAGTTGGACGCCAGCTTCCCCGTTGTTGTTGTACAGAGACCGCCTGTACACCCTTACGCCCCTGTTTGTTGATGCTGACAGGGTGGTGTCCAAAATATAAATATATATATATATATATATATATATATATATATATATATATATATATATATATATATATATATATATATATATATATATATATATATATATATATATATATATATATATATATATATTATATTTTGGTAGCAGTCTTTCCTGTAGACATATATTATTAAATATGACCGAAAAAGTAAGATTAATAATTCTAACACGAATTTTCACGATCTTTCTTGTGTTACTTTTCACTGTTGATAGTAATTGAAAAATCAATTCTCCAAAATTCATTTTTATTTCTTTTCTGACACGACACTTGAGTGCGTTTCGTAAAACTTATTACATTTTCAAAGAATTTAGTTTACACACACACAACTATAACTGAATAGAGCTTAAACATCTTCGATTTTTTATACCTGCATTTGGGTGAGGTGATATGTTACAACAGTTTTGGATGAGGTGAAAACAAACTTTCAACACAAGACAGAACACGAAACAATTGGTATTGAAGGGAAGAATGGAAGTAATTGCAGAGGGCCTATTGGCCCATATTTCTTGATGCTTCTATATTGGAGCGGAGTCTTGAAGTGGGTAGAATATCGTTGTGCATTAATTGGCTGTTGATTGCTGGTGTTGACTTCTTGATGTGTAGTGCCTCGCAGATGTCAAGCCGCCTGCTATCGCTGTATCTATCGATGATTTCTGTGTTGTTTGCTTAGATTTCTCTGGTGATGGTTTGGTTGTGGGAAGAGATTATATGTTCCTTAATGGAGCCCTGTTGCTTATGCATCGTTAAACGCCTGGAAAGAGATGTTGTTGTCTTGCCTATATACTGAGTTTTTTGAGGCTTACAGTCCCCAAGAGGGCATTTGAAGGCATAGACGACGTTGGTCTCTTTTAAAGCGTTCTGCTTTGTGTCTGGAGAGTTTCTCATGAGTAGGTTCAAGAGTCCCATTTACCCATTAGGAGTAATTCCATTACTCAAGCGATAGTTTTCCTTTCGTTACTGTACACCAATCACACTCAACATCCACTCACTGCCAGAGCACCAGACGCGACTGGGCTGCTTCCCTGGTTCCTAGTCACTACCTGCGCTAATGTGTATTTACCCCCACCTCTCCTTGCACCTTCCTCGGCAGATATCGTTTCTACCTAATGATCGGCAGAAATTAAGCTTTATGCTTCTGTATTTTAAGACCAAGAGCCGTGTGAGTAGTCCATTAAAAAAAGATGTTCGCCTATCCACCATGGTAGGGTTATTGAGGCCATCACAGTACTTTATTGGCCAATTACTAAGTATACATAGATCCAGAGTATTGTTCATTACTGAAGTAAACTAGTGATGTATATACATTTATAAGTTCACCATAAAATATAGTGTAACCTGCTCTATAGAATTGCAATATATTGTTTTAATGCCACTTTTTTATTATAAATGGTAATAATATTATTTATTCTTATTATTTTAATGATCTTCGCGAACCTTATTTACACAATCATGAAGTTTCTTAAATGTACTTTTAAGATGGTCAAAACAATAGAGAATTATTACAGATGTATATTTTATCTAAAATATTACTTTAACATATTTGTTATTCAGAATTTCCCTATCACCACTCTCTCAAAAAAATTATTTTCTTGAGCTCTCATTTAGTGATGATGAGGAAAATTACATATAATTGTATGTGCTGTCAAGAGTCTTGAAAATAGCCAGTTGCAAAGATGGAAGAATTTGCAACAAGACTGTTCTGCAACCTTTTACGACCTGCTTAATGTAACTTGATGCAAAATAACTCGATATAAAATGAAGACAAAATCTAGAACAATATTACCGAGAATTTCAAATGGAGTAAAATGAGAGCAATAGTACACTCACACACTTTTATATACTCACCTAACTGGACGAGGGGCTTCCAGAGGCTTAAATAATTGAATTGTAGAGGGGAGTAGGTGCCGTTTTGGAGAGCGAGGTTGAGGTCGTGGTGGAGGGCGAGGTAGAGGGCGTGGACAGTGTTGCGGAGACTGTGGTGGAGGAGCAGGGACCTCACCCCCGCCCTCCCACCTATAGCTATCACCACCGTCTCCGGCCGCCGCCACAGTCCAGACATTTCTACCAACCTTTTTATGAGTAAATTCAAATGTATTTAAACAACTTACACTTCTGTCAAAAGATTTGCAACTTCTAAATTACAAAATACATATATAAATTTTTCCAGAATAGAGATAAAATTAACACCCCATCCCTCACTTGAAAGATATTCCCATAATTGTTTACTGTAATGTAATGTATTACTAGCTATTTCGTCTCATGTCTCATAACATCTCACCCTCTTTTCGATGACATCTTCGACATATCCATTATTGATCAGGACCTGCCTTACTTTGCAGAGTTCCTTATCAACAAGCAACCAACTGGAGCTGTATGCGAGGGCGATGTTGAGATAGGCTTTGACAACACTCTGCTTGTACTCACTCTTAGCATGAAAGCACATTGCAATGTTTGTTTCCTTAGTGTAGACTGCAGTGTTAAAACCACCATTCCTTCCCGAGGCTATTACTAGGAAATGTAGTCTACTTCTACTCTCAATCTCATAAATGAACCTTAGCATAAATGAACCTTAACACCACACGGCAGCATTTTGGGACCTCTCCTATTTCTTATATACATCAATGATCTGTCTAATGTCCATAACATTCTGAAACCTATTTTGTTTGCTGATGATATTACCCTCATCTACTCTAACCCCAACCCACATACACTAAATAATGTTGTTAATAATGAACTAAAAAAAGTCTACTTATGGATGTCAACCAACAAACTAACACTTAACATAGAAAAGACCTACTACATCTAATTTGGAAGCAAATCTACAAATGCAATTCAGCTTCAGATAGACAATGTAAACATTAGCAATAAAAATGATGGAGCGTTTCTCGGCCTATGCCTAAACAAGAGACTCAACTTCAGTACCCACAGAAAACACATAACTAAGAAAGTCTCTAAAACAGTTGGTATACTCTCTAAAATCAGATATTATGTACCTAACTCTGCTCTCATCTCTCTATATTATGCACTAATCTATCCCTATCCTAATTATGGTATCTGTGCATGGGGTTCAACCACTGCAAACCACCTCAAGTCCATCATCACCCAGCAAAAATCTGGTATCAGAATAATAACAAATTCTGCTTTCAGACAACACTCAACCCCCTTGTTTAACACCCTAAACATACTAAACATAATCTCATTCCACAAATTCTCTTGTGTCAACTACATTTACAAAACCCAGTTCATAAATGCAAATCCTGCTCTGAAACTCTCCCTGGACAGATGTAATAGGACCCGTTATCACCACACCAGAAATAAATATCTCTTTGATATCCCCAGAGTCAAACTTAATCTGTTTAAACACTCTAATCAAATAAAGGGACCCAGTCTATGGAACTCACTCCCTATTGAATTGAAAAGCTGTCCAACTTTTGCGTCATTCAAAAACAATACTAAAAAGTACCTAATTTCATCTTCATAGGTTTTTACCTTTTGCTTTAAAATTGCACTGTATTTATTGCTACCCAATCTCCCAATCTTTATGTACCCAATCCGAACATCTTTATCATTGTGATCATTGCTGTCTTCTTATATGTGCTGTCAATCTGCTGTATGGTGCCTATTAATCTTGATTAAATTACCAATCAAGCTGTCAATGTAATCAATCAAAGCTTTAATATACCAATGTGCTTTAATGTACTTACTAATCTCTCTCATCTCATTTTTTTTCTTGTAATGTATTTGTTATCATAATACTATATATTATCACAAACACAATGTACCTTCTTGTATATAAATAAATAAGTAAATAAATAAATAAATAAATAACACTGAACTTCGCTCGAATGTACTGTTAAGGCACGGCCAGTGCTTAATATCTGCTTAATATCTTAATATCTGCAGGAATATGTCGTTTACATATCTACAGTATCTACATATCGACAGTCAGCTTTACGCCCATGTCAACAAGTAGGACACCCCATCGCGTCGCCGTCTACCTGCTTATACATGAGTCCATCAAGACTCAGGAAGGGTTCCTCTTTGGTACACGCTTCGAGAAGCTTCCTAAGTGTGCCTTCTGGGATGTCAGGAGGAGTACAAGCTGGATCCCGATACTCTTTGTCCATCATCATTCAAAAAGTCTCATTCAAGGACACATTGGTGAACAACGACTCAACATCAAGAGACGCTCTCAATCCTGATGATTGCACCCCAGGTTATAAGTCATCAAATTCCTTTGGAATATTAAAAATGGAAGCGTGTGGCACGTATGGAGTTAGCAGTTTAGTGGCTAAACCAGTCTGTACGTGGGAGTAGGTATCCGGTTGATGATGGGTCGAAGTAGATTTTCAGGTTTGTGGGTCTTGACAGTCCCATATGCATATCAAGGGATTGCAATGATATGAATTTGTTAATACGAATGAAGTTCTTGATTGTACTTTGATATTATCTATGCCTACAAGCTGCACTGTTATTGTCACTCTTATGGAATTAATGTAAAGTAATTTTTTGTAAATAATTCCCGTTATAAATGCACTACATTCATGAATTAATATTTTGATTTAATTTGATATTACGATACATAGAGTACCCAGCAGTGCTCGGCTCAAACGGGTTTCTCTGTCTCTGTCTTTCTGGCTGTGTCTGTATCTCTTTGTTATTGTCTCTCTGTTACTGTCTATCTGATCTCTTTCTGTCTGTCACTTTGTGTCTCCATATCTTTATCTGTCTCTCTATCTCTGCATTTCTCTCTGTATCTATCTCTATCTCTCAGTTCATGTCTTTCGATCTTTCTGTGTTTGCCTGTGTGTCCAACTTTACCAGTGAGACACTGGCAGTGTCTCACTGCCTCCACGTCTCTATCTCTCTGCGGCTGCTTGAACCAGTTTGGCGCTGGATGGTAGAGAGAAACGGTACAGTCAACAGTAGAATTTTGCTCGTGATTTTCCTAAGAAAGCATTATTAAGTTTTACGATATTGAAGAATACCATTTTTAATAGTGCTGAACCCGAAAGGCCCATCTTAGGCAACTGTCCCCGAGAAATGATTGTGCAAAGTTAGGGCGAGGTTAGCACTAAGCATCTGTATTCCATCCTGTGGAATGTGAATGCGCATCAGTCTGTATGAATCGCCCCCCACCTTCCCTGTTCAAAGCCTCTCCTTCCATAGAGATAGAAAAGCGAGTGAGTACAAATGACGCATTAAAGTACAGGAAAAGCGAGTGTGTGCAAAGGACGCAGGTTAAATAATAATACAGATCCTGAATTCATTCTTGTATGGTATTAAAGGAAGAGCTCCACCTTTTAAGCATATTTTTCCTCCAATGTTTTAATCATTGTAGGACAAGTTCAGCCATGTCTTTAACTAGATTTTCAACACAGTAAGTTTGTTTAATTTTTTTCTGAATATAAAGTAGTCATTGTGAAACATGAAATTACTCCTTATTCCAAGGAATAGTTTATCCATTTGTTTATTTGACGTAGAAAAAAGACAAATAAGAATGAAGTCGAGCATCCACTCCATATTGGTATTAAATTCACTAAAACAATGTGCAGGAGTTGTCTCTCTACAATAATATATATTAAGTGTACCGAATACTGTAAAAATGTCCTAGACGAAGATATGTTTACTACTCGGTTATAAGGTACTGTGATGACTTTAATATCTTTTGAATGACAACATTAAATATTTATAAAGACTTTGACACAGGACAATGTGAATGATCTCAACCTCTTACAGTCATAAGACCATCATAGTGATAAACTTCAGTATAGCAGATGAGGCATAAAGCTTTACGAGTTTCGTGATTGAACAATAAAATACGTGTTTTCACCAGTAAATTGTTCTGACTAAAGGAGAAGTTGTCAAAATATCAAGCGGTAGATGGAAACAGGGTAAGGATGCCGCGACAACCTTATGTAAAGTGTATTCTTTGTGACTGCTTAAAGTAGAGTACCTGAGGGCGAGGTGAGAGGTGTTGCTGCTGGAGGTGAGGTCGAGAATAAGTCCCCGGCAGGTGGTTCTCGAGTCTCCCCACAGTCCCTGCAGGAGGTTGTCCCCTCCGAGCTGATCCTGTGGTGTCTGGTGCTGACGTAAGGGGTCCACATTTAACCGTTGTTGTGATACATGCTGCCAGCAGGGTGATTGGGGAGTGGCTGCACTGGAGTCTTGCAACAGGTTGTCCATTGGTGGTCGAGGCTCGAGCGTGAAGAACGACTCGACGTCCACGACTACCCTGCTCCCAACGACCCTAGTGAGGTGCCTCAAGTTTAACACCTTGTTGTCTTAATTAATTTATCGTTAATGTTGGAGGGACAAAGCTAATTAAAGGAGCCTGGTGCTCTCTCTCTCTCTCTCTCTCTCTCTCTCTCTCTCTCTCTCTCTCTCTCTCTCTCTCTCTCTCTCTCTCTCTCTCTCTCTCTCTCTCTCTCTCTCTCTCTCTCTCTCTCTCTCTCTCTTCATGGATCCTATTAATGGAATGATAATCAGCAACACAAGTTTTACAATAACTGCCGAACATAAGATCTACACGAATCAACTAAATAAATTATTTTTCATTTACAGTGCGCCCAAATATGTAATGTTATTATTTCCCTTATAATTTATAGATGTGCGGACAAAAATAATGAATCAGTCATTGTAGGGCATTCATATCAGTGAGTGTACTGTGAAACCAAAAGTTTTTCAGTCAACATTAGGGTCAGGCACTCAGACCGTGAGGAGGCACTCATAGCGTGAGGAGGCACTCATACCGTGAGGAGTCACTTAGACCGTGAGGAGGGTCATATATATTGTTGCAATTAATTATTGTGAGGTCCGCCGACCATCATATATTCATGCTACTGTAAGGCTGGAACAGATCAAGCAGCTGTAACACATGCACAAGCCTTCATCCCTTGCGTGGTCCAGGAACACCTCTGCCAAGAAATAAAGTCAACCATGGAAAGAGTACACACAAGAGGTAACAAATACCGGACCACAATGGGATCACAAAGACTAATACTTTGTGACCTTCCTGGAGTGGCCAGAGGATATTTGATGAAATCTTGTGGATGGGGCCGTTTTGGAGGAGGCTCAGACCAGTTCTCTAATATGTAAGACAGCTTTAGTTGGAACCAACTAGGATTAATGAACAAATCCACAAGGGCCGTGATGAAAGTTAGAACCTACGTCCGCGAGGATCCCAGACGCGCCTTAATTGACAGTGCTACAACATGGAAAAGAATTACAACCGGGAGTTCAACTGACCTCACACGGATCCTGCAGTCTCTCCGAGACACAAACCAGGGTTTTACACAATTCTCCCATTGTATATTACTATCCTATCCTAACCTACCTTATCATATCCTAACATATCCCATGCTAACCTAACCTACGCTGGTCAGGTTAGGTTAGCATGGGATATGCCTTGAGCTTGTATTGAGCTCAAGGGTTTTTCAGATGTACCATTCATAAATGTGAAATTCTAACTTTTTGGGTAAACTCACCATAATATATGATGTCCTAAACATACCTAGAAAAATATTTTGGGAATTGTGTATTGTTTGACCAAGTTCGGTGTGATTATATTTGTACAAATATCACAATGGTTATAATTTTGCAAGTTGTGTATTAATTGATAAGGTTAGGTATTGATAATATTTTGCACAAGTAGTATGATGATTGTAATTATGTATTGATTAAATTTACGCAAATTGTGTATTCTTTGTGCCAGTTGCCTATAACTGTATATGTTTTGTAAGTGTATTTGTGGAATAGTGCAGTTTATTGTAATTGTGGTAATTATGTATTTGTTCATATTTGTGCTAGTTGTGTATTGATTATATTTGAGCAAGTTGTTTAATATTTGTGCATATATACACATAGAAATCACAATATCGTGATGCATCAAATGAATGAAATCCACAAGGGCCGTAATGAGGGTTCGAACATACGTCTGAAATCATCCCGTATGCAGGTTCGGACCCTCATCACGGTCTTTGTTAATTTGTTCATTGTGAATATTTTGTAATTGTATATGCGTGAATTGTGTATTTGTGCTATTTGTGTATTTTACATGTTTGGGCTAGTTAGGAATTATATGCATTTGTGCTGATATGTACTTGATTGTATTAATGCAAATTTTATAATAATTATGTAAGATGTGGAATAACTGTGGAAGTTGTATAATAATTGCGCATGTTGTGTAAGTGTATACGGACAAAATGTGTATTTACACCTGTTGTGTATTGAATGCCATTGTGCAAGTTATGTAATTATATAGTAAGTTTGGTTATATTAATTGTGCAAAGATGTGTAATAATTACACAGGTTGTGTATTGTTTATGGAAGTTATATATTAATAGTAAATGTTTTTCAAGTCTATTTGTGCGAATTGTGTAATTGTGCATTAATGTATTTTGGGATAGTTGTATATTGTTCGCATATGTGTTAATTGTGTATTGATTGTATTTGTATTTTATGTAGATTGTGTATTAATTGAGTATATGCTGTAAATTGTATTTGTGTGAATTGTGTATTTTGTTCTAGTTGTGTATTTTACGTATTTATGCTAGTTATGTATTGATTGTTTTGGGACTGGATATGTATTGATTATATTTATGCAAGTTGTGTAATAATTATGAAAGATGTGTAATAATTAGGTATAATTTACAATTGTATTTGTGCTAATTGTTTAGGATTTGTAATTGTATTTGTGCAATTGTATTGTGTATTTGTGCTAGTTGAGAATTGATTATATTTATATATGTTGTTTATTAATTGTGTATATGTTGTAATTGTATTTGTGTGAATTGTGTATTTGTGTCATGTGTATTTTACATATTTTGCACTAGTTTTTGTATTTGACGTATTTGTGCTAGATATGTATTTGATTGTATTGATGCAAGTTGAGTAATATTTATGATAGATATGTAATAATGTTGCAGATTGTGTATTTACTGTACATGGTATGTGAGTATTTAGACGAATTGTGTGTTTACACCTGTTGTTGATTGATTGTGCGAGTTGTGTTATTATATAGCAAGTTTGGTTGCATTAATTATGCAGAGATGTATTTTAATTACAAAATTTGTGTAATAATTGTCTATGTTTTATAATCGTTTTGTAGGTTGGGATGGGTATAATAGGGGTAGGGTTTGTTTAGAATAGGATAGGTTAGGTTAAGATAGGTTGGGTTAGGATAGGATATGCTAGGTGTGGATAGGATATGCTAGGTTGGGATACGATACGGTAGGGCTAGTTTAGACTAACATACGTTACGATAGGTTGGGCTCGGTTAGAACAGGACAGAATAAGGCAGGATAGTGTAAGGATGGTTTAGGCTGGGATTGGTTAGGTGGGAACGGGTAGGATAGAGTAGGGCTAGATTAGAATAGGATAGGTTACGATAGGATAAGATATGGTATGACCGAGATAGGATGGTTAGTTAGGATGGGGTAGAGTAGGTTTAGATAGATTGGATTGGGATTCGGCTTGATTAGGATATGATAGGATAGGTTAGGATATGATAGGGCTAGTTTAGACTAGGATAGGATAGGTTGGGTTGGATAGGTTACGATAGGTTAGGATATGATAGGTTAACCTGGTTGATACCTGGTTGATGGGGTTCTGGGAGTTCTTCTACTCCCCAAGCCCGGCCCGAGGCCAGGCTCGACTTGTGAGGTAAGGACAGGATAAGATAACCTACCTTGGATAGGTAGGTTAGGGTAGGGATAGTTTAGACTAGCATAGGATAGGTCAGCATGGGATATGTTAGGATATGATAAGGTAGGTTAGGATAGGATAGGATAGGATAGCTAGGTCAGGGTATGAAAAGTTTAGACTAAAATAGGTTAGGTTAGGATAGGTATATGAATGTATATGTCAGTATATCTGTGTGTGTGTGTGTGTGTGTGTGTGTGTGTGTGTGTGTGTGTGTGTGTGTGTGTGTGTGTGTGTGTGTGTGTGTGTGTGTGTGTGTGCGTGCGCGTGTGTGTGTACTCACCTATTTCACGTATTTGTACTAACCTATTTGTGCTGGCAGGATCGAGCATTGACTCTTGGATCCCGCCTTTCCAGCCATCGGTTGTTTACAGCAATGACCCCTGTCCCATTTCCCTATCATACCTAAATTTTAAATCATGAATAGAGTCTGCTTCTACAACCTGTTCCCCAAGTGCATTCCATTTTTCCAATACTCTCACGCTAAAAGAAAACGTCCTAACATCTCTGTGACTCATCTGAGTTTACAGTTTCCACCCATGTCCCCTCGTTCTGTTATTATTACGTGTGAACACTTCATCTATTTCCACTTTGTCAATTCCCTTGAGTATTTTATATGTCCCTATCATATCTCCTCTCTCCCTTCTTTTCTCTAGTGTCGTAAGGTTCAGTTCCTTCAGACGCTCTTCATATCCCATCCCTCGTAACTCTGGGACAAGCCTCGTCGCAAACCTCTGAATCTTCTCCAGTTTCCTTACGTGTTTCTTCAGGTGAAGATTCCATGATGGCGCGGTATACTCTAAAACTGGTCTCACGTAGGCAGTGTAAAGCGCCCTAAATGCCTCCTCACTTAGGTTTCTGAATGAAGTTCTAATTTTCGCCAGTGTAGAGTACGCCGCAGTCGTTATCCTATTTATATGTGCCTCAGGAGTTAGATTAGGTGTTACGTCCACTCCCTGGTCTCTTTCTCGAATCGTTAAAGGTAGGCAGATCCCCTTCATTGTGTACTGCCCCTTTGGTCGCCTATCACCTGATCCCATTTCCATAACTTTACATTTCCTTGTGTTAAACTCCAGTAGCCATTTCTCTGACCATCTCTGCAACCTGTTAATGTCCTCTTGGAGGATCCTACAGTCTTCATCTGTCACAACTCTTCTCATTAATTTTGCGTCATCCGCAAACATTGATATGCAGGATTCCACTCTTGTACACATATCATTTACGTAAATTAGAAAGAGGATTGGTCCCAGCACCGATTCTTGAGGTACTACACTCGTTACTGTTCGCCAGTCCGACTTCTCGCTCCTTACCATTACCCTTTGGCGTCTTCTGTTAGGTAGTTCCTTACCCATGCTAGGGCCTTTCCGCTTACTCCTGTCTGCCTCTCAAGTTTGTATAGCAGTCTCATGTGCGGTACTGTATCAAAGGCCTTTTGGCAGTCCAGAAATATGCAGTCTACACAACCTTCTCTGTCCTGCCTTATCCTTGTCACTTTATCATGTGTGTGTGTATGTGTGTGTGTGTGTGAATG